AGTAACCCTTTTACTAAAATGGGACCCCCCCCCGCCCCCCGCAACTGGCACTCCTGCAGTTCGTTCCTCATTCTTGTGTTTCCAGGGCCCATCAATCCCACTGCTCTCCTTCCTGTCTCCCAGCCCTGAAAATGCAGTCACTTTGCCTGCCCTCCTTCCCTTCCGACCCCCAGCCTCCAAGCAATTCCTCTCACAGCTCACCCTCTTCCTACTTCCACTACTCAGTAGTTTTCACCTTGACCATGGAAATGGTCCCGTAGCTGGTTTCTTTGTCTGTGTCTCCCCAGAAATGCTTCCCTAATCACCAATGGCTATACAGAGTCTGTTTGCTTTTGGTTTGTCTTCCCCCACCCCCTGGGCAAAGAAGCCTCCAGTCCTGGGTCCTGGTTCAGCTGGGCCTCTCTGTGGCTTTAGGTACGTGATTTCTATGTTCAGCCTCAGTTTTCCCATTTGTAAAATGATGTTGAACAAGACAATCTCTAAAAAGCTACCTCTAATTCTAAGGTACTCTGTATCTCCCCTCTCTAAATCTGCCCAAAAGACTGCTTCTAAAGAAATCTCCCTAAAACACTGATCTTCTTTTTCCTGCAAAATCTTCCCATTGCCCCCTACTCTCACATAATGCCACGTCTCCTTAGCCTGGCACTCAGAACCCACTGCATGTTGGTACTAAACACTCCTACCAGATCATCCCATGGTCTTCACAAGCCCACACTCAAGCTAAACTCCTTGGTTTTGCAGCACCAAAAGCTTTTACCTTGTGCTATAGGTGGAATACCTGCCGTGTTTTCGTAAGCTCCTTGAAAGTGAGGACCGCACAGCCTCTAGCACTTAGTAGGCACTCAGTAAGTAGTTGTTGAAAAAACGTATTAGCCTGGAATTGCACGGAAGTTTTTTGGTCATCACATCATACTCTTGACTTACACTGGGCTTCCAGTCAAATAAAACCCTTAAGCCTTTTAAAAGTACAGTCTTCAGTTGAGCTGCTTCTCTTCATTCTTTCCCTTAGCCCACTTTGATATTTGGAATTTCATCTGCACCCATCTTCCTTGACTACAGAACTTTTTGATTCTTGACTCTCTTATCTAGTCTACTGCTGCATGGTGACCCACAGGTATGATTTGTATATTGACTGTTTCATTAAAGTTGATGCAGATGTTGACCAGGGGAAAGACCAGCAGCTTGTCAGATTGGCAGGCACCTCATTCTCCAACTTGCCAATGACCTCTTGTCTAGTGGTCTTTGGGTACATTATTTAACCACATATTACTAGCTGCTCATTTTGTTATAATTCATTGTGCATACAGACAATGGAGAATATTCACTCATTCAACTCCTTTGTTGAGAACCAGTCATGTACAAGACAGTATGAGGCTTAGTGTGATAGAGAGCAATGATTGCAGTTTGGCCCCTCTCCTCTTTGAGCTGCAAGGAGCATGTAAGACTCACACACAGATCCACGTGGTACAAGGGAGAATAGAGGCCGAACACAAGAGGTAGGGCAAAGGGCTTCACAGGTTCAAAGAATGACGAGACACACTCCTGGCTAGGTGCAACCTCACAGAATGAGTGGGGTTGTCACAAGTGGAGATGAGAGGATTAGGTGCAGGCTAAGCTGCTGTAACAAAGAGTCCAAATCACAGAGGCTTTATCACCAAGCTATTCATTTCTCTCAATAGTTAAGATAGGCACATTGTCCAAGCTGTTGTTCTGACCTCAACACAAGGCTTCCAATTGCATGTTCAAGGTGACGGCTCCTGTCCTCACCATGCTCAGCCAGAAGGAAGGGACAAAGCGACCGAGATGTACCACTTAGTCATTCTAAGGACATTCTGAGGAAGTTCTTTACAATGTTTCTATTTATATCCGGCACTTCTGCCTGCACTTAGTCACATGGCTACACTCTGGTGAAAGGGAGTGTGGGAAATGTAGTCTTTCGCTGGTAACACCGTACCCAGCTAAAACTACTTTGAAGAAGGAGAAAACTGATACTGAGAAGACAACAGTGTACCACAAAGAGAAAAAGAAGAATTCCATGTGAGAAGAAAAACTGTAAAAGGGAGATGATTGATTAATTATATCTCAACCAAGTGGAGGTTATCGGGAACATAGATTTGGATTCAGCAGAAAAAAAAAATAGAACTCTCAGAGAAGGAATGGGCTATCTTGATAGTTAAAATCCTCTACCTCTGAAAATGGTTTTGAAAACGGTGAGAATAATTTACACTCAGAGGCAGGATGGATAAAAGGCCAGCCTTCAAGGCTCTCAGCTGTGAGACTGGAGGTCACATGCAGCAGAGAGGAGAGAGACTGTAAGCTGTCAGGACACTACAGCACTAGCCCCAGAATGAGGCAGAAAGGGTGGAAGAGGCCAGAAGGGACTGGAAGGAACAGATGTAATAGAAAATGAACAGAGCTGGGTTATCCATGTGTGCATGCCCCAGAGGATGTGTGGGGGTGGAGCACCGCTTGTCGATGTCTCAGAAGGGACCTGCAGGCAGGGAAAGGCAGCTCCCAGGAGCACGGCAGCTTGGCCGACTTGGGCAGAAAGGTGGGTGCCAGGAGGCCCTCCCTCTCCCATGGTCAGGTGTGGGCATCACTGCACCTTTCCCAGCCCAGCAAATAGAACCCAGTCTTTCTGCATAAACCAGTAAATATCATGATAGGCCCTGCTCCTGAGAAGGCATGTTCGTGAACATGTGTTTTCTCGCTCTGTCCTGGTTTTCATGTCTGTTTAAATTCAGTAAAAGTATTACTGAATTTTAACATTGTGTGGCCTGTTTTACCCTGCCTCCCTTCAGGTCACCAAAGGTGTTCCATCTGTTTTTTTTGAAAATGCAGCTGTTCTCTGGATTTATGTGTGCTCTGATAGCAAATGTTTTGTGTCACAATAAAAATCATTCCTTTGGTAGATACCATTGTTGCTTTGTGTTCTGTCCAAGAACAGTATTTCATATCTGTTAAATCATAGCCTCGCCCCCCAGTAAGAGTCCATGGGTGGCCAGTTTGTATTCCAAACCAAGGGAGTCAAAGTTTATAGCTTCTAATGGCTGTTAGGGCCACGTCTCAAGGGTCAGAGCTGTAGAGGAAATGCTCTTCTCGAGCAGCCCTTGCAGATTCCCAAGAGAAGAGAGGGAGGCATCAGTGGAAAGGGCTTCCAGTTTGGGTCCCTCTCTCCTGTGTATTTAAGGCATTTTTGTTTGGAAGATGGAAGCATCCGTATGTTGGCACAATCACGGGAGCTTCCTTGTAAATAGAGCACTCGCTGTGTGTCATGCTCTGGCCTCAGGTCTTGGTCCCATGAGGCAACTTCTCTCAAAGCTCTCATTTTACAGACAAGGGAAATGAGCTCAGAGAGGTTGAGTAACTGGTGCAAAGTCACACGGAATTCAAACCTCATTCTGTTGGACTTCAGAGCCCAAGCTCTTAATCACTATATTGTACTCCTTAGACAGAGTCCATACTCTGATGCTGCCATAGACCGTGTCTCTGCTTCTCGGGCAAGTAAGCCAAGACAGTGGCATCATGGCAGTTTTCAGCAGAGCCTGAAGGGAGGTGGGGGAGCGGGGAGCAGGACAGAGCTTAGCTGGGGGACACACAAGGCAATTGCAGCCTTCAGGAGCACCTGACTCACTCCCATGGAAGTTGTGTGGCATGGTGTGTTGAAAAGCTGTGGAGGCAGGTTGTCTGAGTTCACCTTGTGTGACCTTGGCCAAGGTAGTAATCCTTTCTATGCCTCAGTCTCCCCATCTGTACAATGAGCATAAGAATAGGATCTTTCTCACAAGATTGTCTTGAGGATTAAGTGAATGAATATATCTGCAACAAAGGCTACTAGTTACCCCCCACAATACCCTTTTTCTCTTTTTCCATAGTAATGACTACCAATTTTTAACTAATCAAGCAGTCTCTCAAAATAAACACCACAATTCCTAGGCTCCCTTGTAGCTATGCATGGGCCATATAACTATGTCTGGCCAATGTGATATAAGTGACCTCTGGCCAGGGTTCTTCCTGGAATGTGGATATGATGCCTGGTATCTAGCTGTCATTTTGGACATAAGGATGAGGGCAACACCCTCAGGATAGTACAACTGTGAGCTGGAAGGTACCTATGTCCCTGAAGCCTTCATGAGCAAAGCCACCATATCAGTCCTTCACTGCCTACTGTTGTACTTCTACATAAGAGAAAAATAAATATTTTAGCCACTGTTATTTGGGGCCATTTCTACTCATGGTTGAGCCTAATCCTAATCTATAAAATGTATAAAACACTTGAAGTGATGTCTGGCACATAACAAGCAACTCAATATGTGTTGAATAAATGTTATTATTGTTACTTATTAGTGTGTGTTAATTAATGGATTATGTGAGAACAAATTATAGAAGGGCTTAAAAGATCAGGAAGAGAAATTTGACCTTGATGTGAGGAGTTTATATTTGTTACTTCTAAAAAATGATTTGAGAAGAATTGAAGTAAAATGACCCATAGTCACTAGGACCATCCTATAAGGATAAAAGACAAGAGCTGTGGAAAGCAGGGGAGAGAATTGCACCAGAACTCTAGGCTAAAGCCGGTTATGAAAGTCATACATAAAATTTAGTCCTGAGTTGCCTAGCTGCCTCAGTTTTGAAGAAAATAGAAGCCTCTGCAGGCTTTTGCGTGGAGGTTTCCCATTGTGCAAAGGCTTTGTTAGGCAGCTGAACCCAGCAGTTCCGTGCAAGACAGATTGGATGGGGAAGGAATGAGGGTTCATTAAGGAAGCCCTTGCAGGAGCCCAAATACGAAGTGATGGAAACGATGGCGGTGGGATGGGAATCAGGAAACAGATATGGAAGATGATTTGAAGGAACTTTAGAGGACTTGACATGGAATGCCTCCAGATAAAGCAAATGCAGACATCAAAGATGACTGAAGTTTCACATCTGAGCAATTATAGTAGTCAGGTGTCTGCTATTGAAGTGCCATGTAACAAGCACTCTCATAATCTCAGTGCCTTGCAACAATAAACACTTAATTTATTGCTTACGGGTGTGCAGGTTGGCTATGATTCTCTTGGGTGGCTGGAACCAGGCTTGTCTCCAAGCTGCCAGTTGTGTTCAGATCTATTCCAACTGTCTCCTCATTCTGGAACCAGAGGCTATTCCGGCAAATTCACTGTGGGGCAGATGGCAGAAGTGCAAGAGAGTTAGCCACGCCATGAAAACATACCTAAAGCCCCTGCTCACAACACCTCCAGTAATGTTTCTATTGGCCAAAGCACGTCACATGGCTAAGTCCAAAGACAGTGGGGTGAGGCTGTATGGGCCAATTCTATCACATGGCAGGAGGAGTAAAGATGAACCAACAATAGCCCAACCTGCCACAACAAATAGAATACGAGTGATGCGGCAGGCATGGAAATTAGGAGTGGAGTAGAGAAGAATGGTGGGTTTCTTAAAGTGAGGCCACCTGTCCTATGACAGCCATCTGTCTGATGCAGAGTTCTGGCACTGCAGTCGGGATTTCTGGTTCCAGGTCTAACTTGGGAGCATACTCATTCTTCCTCTTGTTGCTACTTCTTTGTCACAGAGGTTAAAATTAGACCATCAAGTGGACCTTTCCCCCTGCGTCTAAGTGTGCCACCCTTTCCCTTCCCCCACACACCGTGGTTAGGAACCTGCTGTGCGGTCACTCCTGAGATCAGCTTTGCAACTGACATTGGTGGATGTGCCGTAAGAACAGCTCCCCAAACTGGGACCTCCTATGTGAGGGAAAATCTAGAAGGAAATATCCCCAGATGGTACTACTGGTGATGGGACTGCAGGATACTTGAGGTCTCTCTGTGTATTTTCCAAAATTTCTATAATAAGCATATATACATTTTGTAATTTCAAGGATTCTTAAAATGATTTTTAACAGAGCATATCATTGGCTCGACTTCATTTTGTCCCTCGTTTGCCGGTACATATCTAAAGAAAAAGTATGTCTCTGAAGTGCTAGTCAGCACGGTGGACCAAGCCTGCCTTCCCGGAGGCAACACACGCTTGAGGCTAGTTCCCTCCTCCCAATACTAACCTCTCAGACATAGTTTGAGGTTTTCTTTTCTTTTCACTCCTGAACTTTTTTTGAGAGGTGACAGGTGGGCAGGGAGGGGATTTTAGTTTGAATACAAAAGGGTAGATCAGATTTTTCCTCTTGTTCCTCATGTCTTGATGTTTGGGTTTTCGAACGGTCTATAAAGAAGTCAAGCAGGAAGCAAGCACAAGAAAGCCACCAGCCAAGAAAGGTTGCAAATGCTCCCCAGCCCCTCCCACACTTAGCCACGCCCCGCTCCGTGATGCCTCTGGCAGAGGCAAAACCACTGACCTGGAAAGACTGCTCTGCTGGGGTTCTCCTCACCAAACCCCCATTCTCTCAGACCACAGGAGAGCAGGTTCTGAGTAAAAGGAGTATGAGCTTTCAGTCAGGCTAGTCCTGACTCCTCTACAGCATGATCTAGTTTCTCACAGCTAAGCTTCCATTTAACCTCCCCCACAGCCACTGCCTCCTCTTCCTCACCTCCCACGCACACCCTGGCTGCTTCTTACTTACATCTTCCTTGAGGGACACTAACCCACAGATCCTCCACCATCCACTTGTCAAGTCCAAAGTTCAGCCCCTAGTTTACGTTGGCGGTTGGTTGTATGTGGAATCTTCAGTTATTCACATTCTTCGAACCCTCCTTCCCTTGGTCTCTGTGAAATCGTGCTCTCCTGGTTCTCCTGGGCACTCTCTGAACATTCGAAGTCCTGTTTCTTCCTCTCTCAGCCTTTCTTTGTTGCCCTCCTGGTTGCCGCCCTCTGCTTACTTGTGTTCTCACCCCAACACTTTCTCAGTGGTCTGATTCATTCTTTGTTTCAACCACGATTCATATGCTGATAACTCCAGCCCAGACCTTTCCCTCTGATTCATATTTCCTGGAGGAGCTGGTCATCACATGGATGTCTCATGAGCCTGAAACCCAGCATGTCCAGAGCTGAATTCATCTCCCCATTAAGGCACTTTGGTTACAAACAACAGGGACTGACTGATTCTGTCTAGCTCGTGCACATTTTAAAGGACAATTAATCCTTCCTTAACTGGAAGAATAGCAAGATGGTTCCTAGAATCCAGGAAAAAAATCACTGAACAGCCTGCGGTCTGGTAGGCAAGGACCATATTACGGCATAGATTCAAGTTCCTAAAAGTGAATTTGACATGCCCAGCTTGGGTCACGGCTCCACTTCTTGGGTCTGTTCTCAGGATAAAGGGGGACAAGAGATGCAAAAGGTCCTGGAAAGACAATAGCCACCATGTGTCCCAAATCTGTTTTTCCCCCTACATTTTCCATCTCAGTTGGTGATTCTCCTACTATCTCTCTTTCTACCACTGAGACTGGGAAGGGGTCTCTCCCCCACTTACCCCACTCCCCTCCCTCTCATGCCCCCCTCACATCCATCTTGTATAGCAAAGACAATCAACCATTAAATTCTAAGATTTTGCCTTTAAAGTAGTTCTCCAAACAGTTGCCTCCGCTCCATCACTTGGACCTCTGACCTCCATTGGGGTCTTATTATCTCTTGCCTTGATGACTGTTAAGCCTCCAAAAGAGTCGCTCTGTTCCCACTCTTGTCCACCTCAAATTCTTCCTCCACAGAAGAGCCAGAGCAATCGATCAGAAACCCACATCTGACCATATTACTCCCCTGTTTGAGCTCTTTGCCTACAGGGTAAACTATGGGACTTAGAGTACGTATTTCTTGATACAAAGTTAAGTTCTGCCAGGGCCTGGCCCCCCACCTACAACGCCCAGTCCACAGTCCCTGCTCCGCAGCCTGTTTTATCCTTGCTGATGGCAGCCCCTCTGCCTGAGAGGCTGCCATTCTCCCTACCATTCGACCCTGGACCTGGCTATCCCAGCTCATCTTTAGAACTCAGTTGAGCCCTCAGCCTCTCCCTCACAAACCTCCCTAAGTCTCTCTGGGCATTTCCCGGGGGTGTTGAGGATCCCTCCTGAGTGCTCCCATAATGCCTTAAACATTTCGCTATTACTGCACATAAACCACTGTTGATGCACCTCTGTCTCTGCACCTGCATCTCCCATCTATAAATTCTTGGAAAGCAGAAACAGGGCAAGGCGTACAGTCGTGGCTCCACAAATTCGTTTTGAGTGGTCTTTGAACTTGGTAAATCACAAATTCTCTGGGTTTCAGCTTTCTCATTACAGAAAAGGGATAACTCCGCTTAGCCCATGTTGTGAAATTAAATGGAATAAAGCCATTAAAATGCCTTACGCAGTGGCATATAGGACGTGCTCAGTTAAAAGTCACTTCTCTCACCACCGTTCATCCTCCCGCCACAATTTTAATTAAAAGGAAGAAGATTTCTTAGTGTCCTTTGTTTAGCTGTATGTCTTCCTAACTGGAGCATAATGTCTGTGAGAAAATGGGGCACATCTGTCTTGTTCATTGCTAAACCTCTTACACATGGCAGGTGCTTAGTAAATATTTTAGGGTAAATGAATAATTGCTGTGTATGCCTATTTGATCATTCATTTGCACCTTCACTTGAACCTAATGCTCTTGTTTCATTGCCCCATTATATAAATCACTGACTTCAATTTGTTTAGTATGCCTTGTTTCTTGTTATAAACCAGCTTATGCTCGGGGAAGAATGGAGACTGGGTTCCTGTACATGCCACCTCTTTCTAACACACACACACACACACACACACACACACACACACACACCCCATGCTGCCCTATGAACTGACAGGAAACCCCTGCCGACCCAACTCTAACAGCCTGGAGAACGTTTCAATGAACTTGCCCCAGCACAAGCTCCAGCAGCATTAAGACCTTAGGCGTGGAAATCAGACCAGCAAGACTTGAATCCTGACTTCGTGACCGGCTATGTGAATTTGGGCCTCGTCTGTAAAATGGAAATTGTCATACCATTGGAGGTGGTGTTAGAATTAAATGCGCTAGGCTATTTGCTTTGCATTCATTAAATGTTAACTAAAAACCCTGTTATGGCAATGTCTATAAGCTTTGCTCTACCACAGATTTTTGGCCTAATTACTCATTCCAGCCTTCGGAATCCTTTAAGAATGGATACTTCTACAACTCAGAAGAAAGAGAATGAAACCATGAAGGGATCTATAGTTTTTGCTTACTTTCCCTTAGATTATCATATATGATTATGATGAAAGCCCAGTGAAAGAGGTGACAGAAATAATATTCTGCCTCTTTTAAAGATAGAGAAACTGACACCCAAAGAGACTCAGTGACTCGTCCAAGGTCGCACTGGCAGTGAACAGTGGAGTCGGCGATGGCATCCCCCTAACGAGCAGCCCCTCCAGCCAGTCTCTGTAAAGACAGCTGACACTGCAGCTCGAGGGAGCACTGTGTGTGCCCACCTTGCCCTGCAGCAGTCTGGCTGCTGTATGCTGCATCACTGAAAAGTGTGCGTTGTCCTAAACGGTAAGTATGTGCTTCATGTGCAACAAAGACTATCTGAGCCACTTCCTCCAGCAGCTATGCCTGGGAGCCAGGGAGCGGCGAGAGCTCGCAGCAGCTGGGTTGGCATGCACCCCGCTCACTGCTGTTTAGTCGTGCAGAACACCAAGCACCTCTCCCTCCAGCTTCTCCTGGCAGGCAGCACTGTGTTCTCTCCATCGGCTTCCAGTGTTTTTGCTGTGGTCAGGGAGAGTGAGCAGAACCCTCGCAAGGTTTTGGTTACTGGAGGTGGACATTTTGTGATGAGAAGCCCGTCTTTAAAAACATGCTGTGCATTAGCATCCTCTCCTTTGAAGAGGGCTATTTTTGTCTTTCATCTTAGAGACTGTTCCAAAATATGGGAGGCAGGGACCAGGAGGCAAACCAAAAGAAGCCAATGTCTCCAGCTCAGAAGAGAACAAATTACTGCCATCCCCTCAATAACTGTAACAACATCAATTGCCATGGCACCAATAAAGAACAGGAGTTAGAGTCAGCAGCACCGTGATCTCTTTCTGTGGGATTTCTCTCCTTACCCTTCAGGAACAGGGTTTGTTGCCATGGTTACTAGCAAACCACATGACAGCCTCGCTACCTAGAAGTGTAGGAGAACAGCCCATCAGCCTGTGATGGGGGAGATGCCTCCCTCCCAAGCTCAGTCGCTTTTCCTTAGCAGACCTGCGTGGCCCCGGCATCTTCTTCATTTCCTATATCCCCAGCTCTGAGGTGCAGGGCCAGCCATTCTTTGGGTACCAGAACGTTGCTTCTGTGATGAAAGCAACACAAGTTTTCCTCAAGGGCCTCTCCCTCTAGTTTCAGGAGCCCATCTTCCCCTCCCTAGCCCCTTCCTTCCCTGACCCCTCTGACATACACACACACACACACACACACACACACACACACACACACACACACACGAGAGCTGTAATTAAATACAGCACTGAGTTGAGTGGGAAGCAGTGGAGCACGCAGCCTACACCACTTGAATAAGCTCTTTTTTAAAACTCAAGGATGGCATGAGTCAGGGATTTTGAAGCTGTGGTACAGTCAGGATACCAGTGCCTCAAGGGGATGGAGGGAAGGAGGGGAGGAGGGAGCACCGGTTCTACCGGTTCCTAAAGAGACCAGGTGGGGCCTGGTTTTCCGGGCACAACCTTCAGGGGGTCTGTAGACCCTCTGACTGCCTCAGGGTCATGGAACTGGGTTCACTCTGACAACCTCTGATGTGGTACAGTAGACATAACCCCCCCCCCGCCAAAGGCATTGCTTTCTGCGAAGAGAAAGTCAGCGCCTGGAGAGAGCTCTCAAACAACAAAGTTCTCCACCTCCCTACCTCCCCATCTCCCCACCTCCCTCAACACCTTCCCGGTGGAACCAGATGGCATTAGTGGGTTAGCCCAAGTCTGGAGCTCTGGAAGTTGGCTGGGGAGTGGGTGGACCTCAGCAGCAGCAGCCTGGGCTAGAATTGCACATCCTTTTTTCTGACAATTACAGATTGCCTACTTCTCGAGTTCAGATCACATCTCTCCTTGTCACTCCCATCCGATTTTCTGGTCTTCTTCCCCATTGCAAAAGCAAAGTCAGGATGACACATCAGCAGGCAACAGAAGGTAAGGCCTGGGAGGGACTCCACCCTTGGCTGCACTAGGTGGTTTGGAGGACTTGCCTCAGGGCCCCTGCCTCAAGGAACAGAGTGTAGTGGTGGGGGTTGCGGGGGGCAGGGGGGGAGACTTGGAAGAAGCAGCAGACTCACAAATGTAGCTAACCCTGTGGGCCCCACTGGGCAAGGGCCGAGGAGGCTAGAAGTCTCTAAAATGAAGGGGCCAGGGGTGCACGGCAAGGGTGCGTGAGACTCTACCCAGTAGGGTACAGAAAACATTAGAAATTCCATATATAGTTGTTTGATCTCTTCCTTTTTTATATCTATTTTGGAACATGTATTATAATGTATAGTATGTAATTATATCAAGTAAGATCAGATTCGGCTGAGATTAAGAAAGAAGAGATTAGGCAAAACAACAGTTTCACCAAGAGAGAACTTGACTTCTTTCTCTTGTACATGCAGTCTGGGGGCAAGCTGCCCAGTGCTGGTAAGGCGTATTTTCTAAAATGTGGCTACCACTTCCTTATGAAGGCATTGCTCATGGTCAAGGCTTCTTGTCTACTGTGGGCAGCAGGAGGCAGAAAGAAGCAAAGAACTGCGTGCCTCGCCCACTAAGGACACCTCCTGGGAACTGCCACCCTACGCGTCTGACAATTCATTGGCTAGAATTTGGTCACATGGCCTCATATAGTCTACTCTGCACGTCATGTGCCCACTGGGGAATGCTGTACTAGTGAAGTAGGAAGGGACGAACACTGGGGTGCCACTAGCAGCCTTTACCACGGCACTATAGCAGTAGACTGGCAGATGTGTTATTAGTACTCACAAATAAAGGTACTTCTTGGGAGCATAGTCAAAATTGGTTTCTACATGGTGGAGTTCAATGATTATTGCTATGGATTGTGTACCCAACAAATACATATAATTGAGGAAGGAGTAAGGGATTTTTTTTAACCACCTGGCATCTCTTCACTCTTCTCCAGGGCAGCACTATGGAGAATGTTGTGCGAGGACTCATTCCTCATCCACTCTCAGCCATGTAGTTGTGAGCGGCCCTGATTAGTCTCAGCAAACCAACTTCTTCCATCCCTTGGCCACTGGGCTTGGTGCTGGTTACTGAGAGTCAGGACTGAGACCTTTATTCGGCTCTCAGAAAGGAGACCCTGGACATGAAGCACATGAAGTACGGAGCTGCCCAAACCCCCTTATAACCACGATGGGAGAGCTTATCTGGGAATATGGCCAACGTTCAGAGGAGAGGGGAGCCATGTGGAGAGAGGACCAGGTCCTGGTCATATTATTTTTCCTCCTATTGCTACTTCTGAACAGCTGCATCTGAACTCGAACACAGCATGTGCTGGGATCAGTAGCCATCTTGGACCCAATGATGAGGTCAACCCCCTAGAAGAAACAGAGCAACTAGCAGGAAGGAGCCCAGGACTGGATGACTTCCTGCAGCAGAGCCACAGGACCTGGCTCTGTGTACATGTGAAAGAGAAATACATTTCAATCTCATTAAAGTCACTATCTACTTAAGAGTCTTTGTTTTAGTAACCAGCGTATAACCTAACTAGTATACACGCATTTTCTCATTTATTTCTACTTATTTCGTTTAATTATCCAAGCAAGTGAGTGCAGAACAAGGATTTGAACTCAAGACTGCCTGACTCAGGAGCCCATGCAGCTGGCCACATGTTCAGCACTCAGCTCCTGTGTCCCCTGGGCTAAATCTCTTACCTACGTGCAGAGTGGAGTCTCGATACTTAACACAGTTCTCTCATTGCCTCTTTGCATGTAAGTGCTTTGGGGTCAGAGGCTGGGCTGATCCTCCTTGCATTGTCCAGGTCTGCAGGGCTTGGCAGTCTCTCTGTAACTGTTGACCAAATACATGGTCTTACTGAGCTTCAGAATATCTAGCAGGCTATTGGAGGATCAAATGAGATCATTTTGAGAAGATGTTTTGGAAACTACAAGTTTTGATTATAATTAACCCTCTCACTAGGACATTCTCTACCTTGAGGGTGGGAATATGGCTGTTTCCATCCCGTGTTTTGGTGACTTCCTTCACGAGTCATGTTGCTCTTAGAGGAGACCTCACAGGCTGCTCAGACACACCTCTGCTGCCCTGCTACCCCCACTTCCGTGGCGTTTCCACTGAGAGTTCTGTTGGTAAATGGCCCTCCTAACAACTGGGAACTGAGATCAAAATGTGACTCAGCAGTATAGGACAGGGGATGAGTTCATGCCATTCCCCAAGTATACCCGTGAGTTCTCCCCTCCTTGCCTCTGCACATGTTCTTCTCTCCGCCACAGTCCAGGGTCCTCCTTCAAGGTCAGGTTCAAAGTCACCTGCTCTGCAGAAGTCTCCCAAGTTTAACAGGGGCATCTAGGGGGTCTCTTATTTTTCTTGTGTGTCACTTTGTACTTTATTACAAGATGTACATATTATACTATAGTTTTATTTGTCCTTTTTAAAAAAATAAACCCACTTCATCCCAACTACCTTCTATGCCCCTCATAGGAGAAGTTTTCAAGGGCAGAGACTGTGCTTATTTGAGTCCTCAGTACCTACCTCAGTGCCTGGTGCCGTTGGTAATTTAATAAATGCTTGCTGAGTGGATGAGTGAGGAAACATGTGAGCAGAGAGGTCTACAAACTTGGTCTGTAGCATTATGACAAACTCGTCAAATTCCCATTGGTTAGCTTACTCAGATATGCACTCATTCACTCATTCAAATTTTATTGAGTACCTATTACATTCCAGACACTAGAATACAGGGCAAATGGGAGAGACAGAGTCCCTACCCTCATAAACTTATATCTGAGTAGTAGAAACTGAAAATAAACAAACAAATCAATAAGTAAACAAGCTATCTACAGATGCTGATATGTCCCATGAAGGAAATGAACAGGGGGAGTGTGACAGGGCACCTGAGATTGCCAATGGGTTATATTTTTTAAAAATGTATTGACTTCAGAGAGAGAGGGGAAAAGAGAAAGAGAGAGAGCAACATTGATTTGTTGTTCCACTCGTTGATGCACCCACTGGTTGACTCTTATATGTGTCCTGACCGAGTATCCAACCAGCAACCCTGGTGCCTTGGGACGACACTCCAACCAACTGAGTACCCAGCCAGAGCAGCCAATGGTCTACTTCAATGGCTGGGCCAGGACACTTGAGCTGAGTCCTGAAGAATGAGAACAAGATAATGAACATGGAGAAAAACAGAGGATAGCCCCAAACAGGGGAAAATAAAAGAAAAAAAAAAGACTGTTTCTCTCTCTGAGGCTCTATGTTCTCATCTGTAAAACTGACATATTAAGAGCACCCACGTCAGGGTTTGCTGTGAAGCTTAAATGCATTGATACACTTAACATGGTGCCTAGCACATGGCAAGCTCTTATGATCAATTCTGGGGTGATGCCATAGAAAGGAAATGAGGGTGAAGCCACGGAGCCCTCTGTAATCTGTACTTCCTTTTCTGTGTTCTCCCAAGCCATCTGTTAAACAACACATTTAAGAATGTTTCTGGGCATCGACCTCAATCTCTGGCCTACATTCTCTACAGTCTCTCCAAAATGAGTGTAAATACCGTCTAAGGTTGATAGGGGGAGCAAATCAAATGTGATGATGTATATGAAAGCTTATATAATGGAAATCACTACTATTGTATTGTCGTCTCCTCATAGTTTCTCCATCATTTCTGGCTGCAAGCATACCATCTATTTTGCCAAGGACCTTCGTAAAAACGAAGCCTGTGAAACTGAATGTGGAACTGCAAGCAAGCTCTGGCACAGCGGGGACCACACCTGAGGCGCACAGACCCAGCACAGCCTTGCGACTAGGTAATAAGTCAGCAGAGGCAAGAGCAGAGCTCCAGTCTCCCTTCCCCAGGGGCCAACCCGATGCACCTACAGCATCCTGAGGTTTGCTGTGTTACTCCGGAACCAAGGCTGTGTTTCAAGGAATTGCAAGACATTTATTTACAAGGCCAGTCTTATCTTCCGGGCAGATGGGAGGAACCTGCATTTGTCACAGGAGCAGATAGAAAGATTCGAACTACGTCAGTGACAAACCCTTTTCTGCAGTTCAAAGTCCTCTGAACCTGTGGGTTCTCTGATAAAGTGGTGTGTGTGTGTGCGTGCGCATGTGGGTGTGTGCGTGCACGCACATGTATGTGCATACAAGACAGGAGAAACAGCACAGGCTCCATACTCTATGTCACTGATTCTAACAGATATGATTATTTTATGTATTCACATCTTCAAGTCTGGCCTTAAATGGCAACATAAGCAGAAAGATGCCAAGAAGAGTAATGGAACAAGAGCTTAAATATAGGGACCTTTGTCCAACTAACACGCCAATAATTTGCCTTGTTGAATGATTCAGCAGTAATCCTGCCAGGCTCCCAAAGAAAGCCCCTATCTGAGATGACGTAATCTCTCTCCACACCCACTGCCACACATTTACCGTCCCTCCCCAGAGCCACAGTTCCATCTGTGGCATCTTCAGTTGCCATCTGCATTGTGACAAATATGTATTTCATCATTTAAATGGTATTACAATGCACAATGTTGCTAATCAAGCCCTCCACGTTTAAAAAATTCAATAAAAAAGTTAAGACAGGAAAAATCTTTGCCTCTAGTGAGCTCTGTATCGGCAAATTATGCCTGCAGAATGCCTTCAGTGTCTCAAATTAGATATTTGATCTATGTATCCCATGAATATTTATACTTTGAGGCAAAATGACTTAATTTATCACTGGAAATCGAGGTGACTGTCTAGACTTGCTGTGCGGCAGGCGCTGCAGAGACTATGAGGAGAAGGGAGGGGACCCTGTTTCTATCCCGCCCGACACACCTGGTGTGAGGCTGGCAGATGCGTTTGCTTGCCTCCCTCCAGTCCAGCAATTTTCCACGTCTTCATGACTAGCCAAGTGCTCTGAGAAGGTGCACTTATCCTCGTCTAGACCAATTTTTGTTTTTTCTTGCCACTCTTGGCTAGGTATAGCATTCATTGTATTTCAGTTTATGTCAAAGGGAAATGGGACGAGGTCTGGCTGGTGTTGGGGAGTTCTGAGAAAGATTTGTTTCCTAGTAAAAAGAGCTCCAAAGAATAAGTAGTTCTTTTTTTTTTCTGCCACTGGATGTTGTTGTGATACAAGGAACTCCTGCAGCCATCTAGCCAAATGAGGGGAGGCAGATGGGAGGATGACAGAGATGGCAAAAACCTGAGTCCTTAATGTCATCAATAAGGTGCTGATAAACCAGCCTAGGGCTCCCTTACTTCCAGACTTCTCATTATATAAGGTAATACCTCCTTGATTATTTAAGCTGGTGGATCAAGGCTGCCTGTTACACAGAAGCTGAAAACATCATTACCACATGAGGCACTTTCAAGCTTCCTGACCATAAGCTTTCAAGCTTCCTGACCATAAACCAAAGTAAGAAACATGTTTACATGTAGTGTATTCTAAAATGTTCTCTTTTATTCTATTTCATTTTTTAAAATTCAGGTCATGACTCACAAAAGTGATTTCAAAATTCACTAGTGGGTCATGACCTACATTTCTGAGAACATTAAAGTCATACGGGACATAAGCTACTGTGATATAATAGAAAGCATAATGTGGTAAGTGTCGTAAGACATACACTGGCAACGTGCTGTCGCAGGACAGAATGATCACTTCGAGCCTGGGGAAATGGGAGTTTTCATGGAAGGGCTGGACCTTGAAAATTAGCTATGTTTCCTGCAAGAGAAGAGGGTGAGGAATTTAGGGGGTTAAAAATGACAAGAACAGCCCTGGCTGGTGTAACTCAGTGGATTGAGTGTGGGCTGTAAACCAAAGCATCACAGGTTCGATTCCCAGTCAGGGCACATGCCTGGGTTGCAGGCCATAGCCCCCAGCAACCACACATTGATGCTTCTCTCTCTCTCTCCCCCTCTCTCTCTCTCTGTCTCTCTTCCTCCCTCCCTTCCCTCTCTAAAAATAAATAAATAAATCTTTAAAAAAATGATAAGAACAAAGGCAAGGTGGTAGGAAGCACAGACATGTTCCAGCACCAGTGGGTACACTTGAGCAGAGGTGGTTGTGTGTGGTTTGGAGAGTAGTGAGAACCAGGGTCTGATTTGGTTCCATCGTGTGCAGCTGTGAATGGCAGGCAGCTGGGAGCCTACAGAAGGGCCTTTGGGTGGACTGGGTCTAAGGAATTAACAGTGGTTGGTTGACTGTGTCATATCAGAAGCTCAAACGGGTAGAGTTTAAAGCTTGAGACAAATGAGAAGGGCCTCTGCCTCGGGAGGTCAGCTCCTGCTCCATCTCTTCATTCTGCCTGCAGTCACTCAAACCCGTTGTAGGGGGCGGGGCGGGGTGGGGGGGGGGTCTTCGATCTGTGAGGTGATTTTTAGTGGTGAACCAAGAGTGAGCTGGCCTTCCTAAAAATTCTTCCTGGCAGCCCCCAATTTAATCCAACAGTGCTGATGCTGTGATTCTCCTAAATGAAACCAACAGAGTGAGCAAGTTCACGGCCGATTGTCAGTTCCGGAAAAGCCAA